CTTAAATATTATACTAGTGTCATCTGCATATAGAATTGGTTTAAAATTTATTGTTGATGGTTTTAGATAGATCTGACCTATGCGAAGAATCCTGCATGGTTCTTACTATTACGTTAACTGAAAATACACACAAGATGTTACGATGACTTACTTGTAGGATGGCAGCCACTCAATTCCTGCTTCCGTCAATACCCCTGGTGGTCTTTCCTCAGCCACGGGCAATTCTGCAGGAATGGAGGAGGCTTCATAGGACTCAATTTCTCAAGCTATTTGCAGGTAATGTGCTCCATACATTTCCCTGCAAACAATGGCAAATGAAACTGAGTGTTTGTTCATCACTAGAAACTTGTATTCTTCCCAGATGGGATGGCATAGTGGCAATATTCTACTTTTTGCTGGGAGGTGCTCAGTTTGAATCTCCGCTAGGACTCTGTACAGTCTCAAGCCATAGTCAACCATTTCCTAGGTTTATTCTCATGCCATTTGGTTCTAACAGATCAGGCAGTATGCATGCAGTTATGTGTTCATAATGCAAAGTAGTTCTTTCAAATTCTACAAAGTCTGAGACTGAGAGCAGTGTGAATCAAGACATTTCTTTCTTGATCTGATCAAAAGAATTTGGGACCTGCATGTGTTACATAATCTTGCACTGCAGGGATCATAGGACAATGACAGTTATTTTCAGTCGCTAAAGAAATTCTAACAGACTTGTCACATGGTCAACACTCCTTCGAATTCAAGAATGACAGATCCAAATCTCAACCTCAGGGATAAATTGTTTTCTTCAAACCTGAGAGCAAAGATAGTGTCTCAAAGTATATTAAAACCACTTCCTTCCACATCCTTTCCAATTCATTACTCATTCACTTCTATACAATCTGAGCCATGGCAGTATCATTAAATAAAGCGCACAAAAATAAGTATGAATTGTTATGAAAATTTCCCTTAATCACTTACCAAAACTGGCCAGGGGTCTCTGGAAATGGAGACTAATCAGGTGCAAAAAGATCTGCATTCCACTGATAAGCATTAATATGCGTGTTGCCTGAAGACATTTGGTCCAACTGAGTACCTCGAGCCTGGAAGTTAAGCATATATTCATATTCACTGGCATCCATACCAATTCTTTCACAATGCAAAATAACAGCATGAAGCATTTGACCAGAGGATTTCCCCAGAACTCATTCACTCATTCATTCATTCTATTTATTTTCCATAGGTCCATACAGTATATAACCAGGATGTGGAAATGGTCCTCAAAATACATATCAAAATAATCTTCAAAATACATATACAAAATTGTATGAGTCCATTATTTGAAGCAGTAGGTTAACATAAATTTTGCAGGTTGCAGATAGGCAAACTTATACATCATAAAATCACATATAATAATAATAATAAATAAAATTCAATTAAAACATAAATTAAATAACTTACTATAAAAACATAGTCACAATTGCATATAATCACTTAAATTACCAATTAGGTGTCTTCCAGCGTCACACATTTATAACCAGTTCTATGTTAAATGTTCATACAAGCTAGAGAGGTGTAACAGCCTCTTCAATACATGTTTAAAATTGTACCATCAGCAGCCATCTTTGTTATTATTATCAATTAATGACAAGCAGATCTGGATTATTACAATTTTTTCTAAATTTGTACATCACATTAGTAAGATTAAATAAAATATGAGCCATAATAATTTTAGATAGGACAAGTGAATATATATAAATTGCAAATATATTACAAATAATTACTAATAGTTACTGACCTAGCTCTGTTATAATTTATATATTATGACCAGTTATGTCATCCCAGTTACTGTAGATCTCTGTGTCCTCTTGTGGAAACATTGTGAAATACATAACAGAAAGACATATTAGAAATAGGCTAAACAATTTATTTTGTTTAAATTTATATGAAAATATGAATGATTTATGAGGAAAGATTACTTTCTTCTGGGACATAACACTGTGCAGTCTTGCATATCGTCACCATTTCTGAGAGACCTGCTTCCTCCACAGTCAGGATAGAAGAGCAGGCCATGTGTGCAAACAGTACATATACCTGTATACAGAGAAAATGGCCAAGACTAAGGCTCCCACTGATCCAAACAGTGTAAAGAACAGTGATCCTCCCTCTCCTTATGCCTGTACCAATTTTCCACACTTATTGCACTCTTCTAATCTGACAATGGAGAGAGCAGGAACACCAAAACACCTGAAACAATCTACATCACAACATGGTATCACATCCCAGGAAGTCAAAAGTGCTCACAGTCACCACTGTCAGAACCTCAAATCACACTTTGTCATTACAGGATATCCATTCACGCACAAATGGACCTGCACGAATAATTTAGAGACAGTTTATCAACTCGCCCTCTCTATGAAGATTGGGCACATTGAATGTGTCCCAGTAAATCCAGTGAAATCAGTATGAATTCTCCTATTTGAGCACATCATGAAGATTCACAGATTCAGTTTGGTGACACCACAGTTATCCTGGACATAGTGATAAAAATATTCAAGTGCACAAGCCAGAAATGAACCCAATCCATGCAGCCAACTATTTCCTGACCCCTGATGCAAATCAAAGAATGTGTACAAGATAATGTCTGTGCCTTTGTTCCTGCTTGCCCTCAACGGAGCATGCAATGGATTCTGGCAGGTCCACTAAATTGCCATTAAGTACATACTTTTGTATATAACTTCTAATCTGTACGCATGTAATGTATAACACAGTATATACAAACAAAATATAGAGTAACTTTATTATTACTTACATAAGGAACAGAGACAGACAGAGATGGAAGACTGAAAGTATAAAAAACAAATACAATAAACCTGAACTGACCATGCATCCTGGATATTCTGATGACTTGTATTCACTCCTGGCTTACGGTCACCTAGTGGCATGGCATACAGAAATGCACAACCCTGATGGGGGGGGGGCAGTAGCGACCAGAGTAACTTGCTGCCTCCACCTTCCATGCAGATTCTTCTCAAAAGACAGTACCAGTGTAGTAAACTGTGTTGCAGCATATCCCAGAAGACTTCAATCTTAATTCTGCAATTCCTTTCTGATTATTGGTTTTCATCTTGGTCCAGCAATGACAGCAGGAAAACCTTAACTCTTCAATGATGCAGGACATTTAATTCCTACTCACTCCTTGGGATGGAGGATATTTAAACATTTAAAACGGCAAAAGCAACATTTCACTTAAAGTGTAATAAACTGGGAAAAACTGGAGTTTTGTTTTTCTAATTTTCAAATTACATTCAGAAATGTAATAGTACATAGGTCATACTAAAAGTCATAAGCAACAATTCTTTGTAAAGTAACATTCTTTATTATTGACAAACCAAATACACCAGCTCAATCTACAGACCTTTCTTTATTTTTCCACATAATCGCCACTTCTTTGTACTCATTTCTCCCAGCGTTCTCCCCTTCTGTAAAATTCTGTTCCAGCTGTCTGAAGACACCGACGCACTGCTTTCTGAATTCAGCGTGCTTATGGAAGTGTGTGCATGGGTGCGAGCAGTGTTCAAAGATGGGTCAAACATTTTAAAGATGAGAACATCAACAGGGAAATGAGCCTCGGAGCGGTCATCCTCGAACAGCCTCAATTGAACGCAACAAGGAAAGAGTGGATCAGATCATTCAAGATGACAGGCATGTGACTGTAGACACAACAGCCTGAAAACTTGGAATAGGGCACAGTGCAGTACAGGAGCTGATTGAAAGCTTGGGCTATAGGAAAGTTTGTGCTCGTTGTGTCCCGTGGTTATTGACCGAAGACCACAAAGGTCACATTGGAAGCAATTGCAAAGATGTTGTGGGAAGTTCTTCCACACCATTTCTATAGCACTGATATGGCACCCTCTGACTACCATCTTTTCGGATTTGTGAAGGATCAGCTGTGTGGACAACGTTTTGAGACAAGGGAAGCAATTCACAAAGCAGTGCATCAGTGTCATCAGATGGCTGGAATGGAATTTTACAGAAGGGGAATTTTCAAACTCCCAGAACGCTGGGAGAAATGAGTACAATGATGTGGTGATTATTTGGAAAAATAAAGAAAGGTCTGTAGGATAAATGATACAAACTCCGTCCCAAGTGCAACCAATATATATTATATGTCCTTGATCTTGTTCTTTCTACACTACATGTTTCGGCCTCTATCGGCCATCATCAGGTGTATACTCTTAACGTTGCTGCCACACTGAACTCAGTCTAAAATTTAACATTCAAAAACACAATGTCACATTCTTCGTATTATCAACATCTACATCGTTGATATGTGTCTGGTATGTAGATTATGTTGCACACGTCAAATTTGATATTCTTGTAGTAGCACTCTAAAAATCTTTAGTTATGATGTTTTTAAAACCTTTTAAAATTTTCTCTAAATTTTAAATTTACAATTTAAAATTCTTAGGGTTACTCGCCCTATGTCTAAGTGCTGGAGCGGCTAGTTCTTGTTTTCACACTGTACAGGTGTTATTTAATGTAGTCTTCTTGTGTGAGTGCCGCTGCTTGTCTGTAATACGTGTGCTGTCTGCTGTATTGTACAGTGTGAAAACAAGAACTAGCCGCTCCAGCACTTAGACATAGGGCGAGTAACCCTAAGAATTTTAAATTGTAAATTTAAAATTTAGAGAAAATTTTAAAAGGTTTTAAAAACATCATAACTAAAGATTTTTAGAGTGCTACTACAAGAATATCAAATTTGACGTGTGCAACATAATCTACATACCAGACACATATCAACGATGTAGATGTTGATAATACGAAGAATGTGACATTGTGTTTTTGAATGTTAAATTTTAGACTGAGTTCAGTGTGGCAGCAACATTAAGAGTATACACCTGATGATGGCCGATAGAGGCCGAAACATGTAGTGTAGAAAGAACAAGATCAAGGACATATAATATATATTGGTTGCACTTGGGACGGAGTTTGTATCATTTATCGTGTAGAGTGCAACAGGATGCTTAAATATAATATTGTAAAATGTCTGTAGATTGAGGTGGTGTATTTGGTTTATCAATAATAAAGAATGTTACTTTACAAAGAATTGTTGCTCATGACTTTCAGTACAACAGTCGTATATTATTGTTATATCATTATTAGTATCATATTATCTTAGAAATTCAGCTGGTTGTGTTAGTCATGAAAATATCCCACACAGAGTCCCTAATCACACAGTTTTTTACACACAACTTGACGTTTGTGTTGTCTTGATTTCTTCACAGTTGGTGGACTCCTGATTATAAAATTTCTTTCTCTTAGATGGACAGTTTTTTCTGATGAATGTCGACCCGGCACTTTGTACTCTACAGCATTAGCATATTTCACAGAGAGTCCCTCAATTAACTGAATTCTGAGTGAAAACTGATCTATTCTTTCCCTTGTATTATTCCTACATATCATCCCATTCAGAAATTTTATTTTTGCCCCTTATAGTTTTGAAAATTCTCCCAATAGACGTTTCTTGCTTCTCTCGATTCTATCATTTACCACAGAATCGAGAGAACAAACATCCATTTTCAGTGTCAAATTCCAAATCTGGTAAAACTTTGATCTGATTCAGTTCGAAGTAAAATATCCTCCACTTGTCATAACGCAACACAATCTGCCACTTCTCTGCTCGAGACTGCCCTTGGCAGCTAAAACCGGACTGCACGATGTATATTTAAAGAACAAACGGAAATTACAGTAGTACCATTCATATACTGAACAGTTTCTGGGTCGCTATCTATATAGCAGTCATAACCGGTCATAACACACACTTTAGCTCTTTAGATGCAACATGAAGTCTCAAAGACAGAGATTGTCCAGATGTTTTCTCATGCTTCCAAATTCCAATCTCGAAGCAGCACTGGTCACAATATGCGTAAAGAGAATCGACTTTTCATTCGATCAGCATTCAGGACGTTCAGGACAGAAAACGGTCTCGATGTCTCGATAGTCTCGATCTAACATATTTAGTTCATACGAATTCATCAACTTCATGAAGGCCATCTAGGCGAGAATAGATTTGTATGGTAACAAGCAAATAAGGTGTTAAAGTAGAAAACTTCTTCAAAGAATTCAAATGTATTACAATTGTCGCATGAAGTTCAAAGTGGGACAACGAATATACAAAATGAAATTTCCTCTTTAATTTCACACCAAAAGAATTTCTTTATATGAAAAACAACAGTTCAAAATAGGCTGAAACTTAGCGCTGCACTATCCGTGCCAGATACAGAATTCGGCGACATGTGACAAAAGCCACTGACATGCAATGCACAGACTACAACAGTGAATGATTAAAATTTTTCCCTTCTCATACATTATGTTGTGCTTTGAACATCGAGGTTTTCACGCTTACCTGGCAGGTAGGTGCAAATCGTGGGCCAGCATGCAGGTCCGAGGCAGTGCTGGTGCCAGCAGAATTCACTGCCGATGAGTGCCGTGGTGAAGACGGGACTGAGTGCACTGGCAGGGCATGATGTTTTTGGTGGCAGCATGTCACCCCTGTAGGTGAGCTCTGCAGGAACACTGCTGGGTGGTTAGAATGTCTCACAGCATAAGCATCTTCAGTCCACACTGGCCACATTCATGATAGCCCAATGGTCTCGGTGGAATGCTGAAACAAAGTGAATAAAATTCAGTTTCTTAGTGCTATGTGAATCGAAGGGTTAAACACAATAATCTTTTTGTCATGTCCTTCCACATAATTTCTGCTGTACGCAGATCTATGTGCATGATATCTTCAATCTCTACCCCTTCTTCTCACATTTCCCTTTTGATACCTTGCCAATTACTTCCTCTCTTCGTACTGTCTATTAGTATCCTCCTAACTGGGTGACTCTCATTCAGAAAATAATTCTAAAGCCCTTCTCAACATCCTTGCTCTAGCCACACTCATTCTCTTTGCAAGACCAAGCAGCTGCACACATTCCTCTTATAATTACATCCCTTCTCATTTTTCCTTTTAACACCTTCCAAAAATATCATACCCATTACTTGGATTACAGTAGGAATAATTAACTTCCACAAAGCAACACACTCTGCTATCCAGTGCCATTCCATCCCCATATTCTCATACAACCAGCAAAACTTTCACAGAAAACATATCATTTCTATAAAATTACTTAAGAAGCAAAGTTATAATGTGGGTACATTCATATGCCATACTGTCGCTAACAGCACTGCCTCTCATCCTCCCTCACACAGTGTTGTTACAGTACAGGCTAACTGAATCTGTGGTAATGTTGCCCTAGATCCAAAATCATTCACCCACCAATCTGACACAGTGTCTACAGTACGAAGAAACTCAAGCAACTGGCACACCCCTTTCCCGTACATGCCAGATAACTGGTAGCCTATATTATTAAAAAGCACAAAAATCCAAAAACATAAAACTAATGATGAAACTTCATTTACATACAAATCTTCCAGTGTTTAGAAAAGAAACAAACATACAAAACTGTGAACTAGATAACTCCATACATTTCCCACATTTAATTTACTCTGCAAATTTAATCACACACATTGCTTCATCAATGATATGTATACAGTTGCCGTCTTGTAGTGCACTCAGTTTCACCTGTTACTTCACGACATGTTTCGGCAACATAGTGCCATCATCAGGTGCCCTAATTACGCTAATCTGTTTCATTGCTTGCCTTTATAAAATTATTTAAAAAGTGCATATTTGCCAACTATAATAAATTTACACAAACTGAAACTTGTTAAGATTATTCATCTTTTGTGTCATAATTAAAACTTGCGTGTGGTTCTTCCACTATGGGGGTCGTTTTTCTTATAATGGAAGAACCACACGCAAGTTTTAATTATGACACATAAGATGAATAATCTTAACAAGTTTTAGTGTGTGTAAATCTATTATAGTTGACAAATACGGACTTTTTAAATAATTTTATAAAGGCAAGCAATGAAATAGATTAGTGTAATTTGGGCACCTGATGATGGAACTATGTTGCCAAAACATGTTGTGAAGTAACAGGTGAAACTGAGTGCACTACAAGACGGCAGCTGTATACATATCATGGATGAAAATCAGTGCAACAGGATGCTAAAATACAACACATTGCTTCACTGTTACTGTACTTCAACTACATCCCATCTTCAAAGAACTTATAACCAATTTCATATTCAGATATTAGCTTGTATTTTAGTAATTAGAAAATTATATGTTGCAGTGGCTATTGGCGTGTATTCTCACCTCCCTCTGTTGCTGGTGTTAGGATGGTGTCGTGGTGATCTAGGACAGGCCCCTGTGAGGACCCACGAATTACGTCCATGTGGACCAGGGGTGGACAATTCCTCGTTCCAATTGTGTCATTCTTCCAGTACTATCTGCCGCCTGATGGATGCACGTTCACTCTAAGAAGGAAAGCAACATTCTTTATGTCAATACTGTGCTATGAAATCCACTCACTATGCTCACTGAGCTATTCCACCTCCTAAAAGGGGATAAATTAGGAAATATTGTAGAAAAGTAACGCCTCAAGGAATGAGTAGTGGATTGAGAAACTGTAAGTCAAAAATTACATATCTGGATCACTAAGTTTCTGAATTTTGTCCATCAACTTGTATTCTGAATGAACTGTGGGAACATCCCACATTATCACGCATTTCTGCAACGCTCGCTCTTCACATCACTTTTCACCATCACGCGCGCTAACCAATCAGATTGCTTCAAACGATCGCATTTATACTACGCTCGGCGATAGCCCGCGTCTACACCATTACGCGCGCTAGCCAATCAATTCTTGCTCCTCACTTTCGAGTTTGGCTCCGCCCCACCGACCAGTGTATAAAAGAGCAGAGTTATTCAGTTCAATTCAGTTCATCAGACAGCAAGCAACTTCAGCCAGCAGGCTTCGTCGCCAGCGCTCGGTCTTCGGAGACATCGGCAGGCTGCGCCGGGCACGACTGCCTCGGCCCTCCAGCGCTCTCACACCCGACTCACTGGGGCACAGCGCCTGGACTCGCCGGTGGTCGTGTTACGGTCCGACCCACTGGGCTTCTGGCGTAGCCACTGCCTCATGGCTCCTGCGACCGCGCTCGACTAGCCTTTCACCACCACCAGCAGCAACCGCCGCACTGCGATCGAGCAACCTCCATCACTTGCCGCACGGCAACCAAGCAACCAGCTGCCACGGTCGCACTGCGGCCACTCCACTCACCGCAACTAGCCTTTCTCCTTACCGGCGCGCGCCGCGCTACCTCACCGATCAATCATCTCAACAACCACGGTCCTTTTCAGGGCCAACAAATTGTTCCGAAGAAGTGGGTTGTCATCGGAGTAATGACAAGACTACACACGTTGACAAGAGTGCCCCCACAGAACATAATGTTTCATAAAACTGATCTGTTCCTGTCCCTGAGGTGAAGGGGTCCTACTTAGGTGGATCCATAGAGCTAATCTTAATCACAGAATAATCTAAGTCAATCAACTATATCTACATATGCAGCTGTGATCATGTTCTGTTATTGGGAGATCTATAATAAGAAAAGTGGGCATAACATAAAAGCCTAAAACCCAAACCAAATGCAGGGAAAACAATGCAGAAGACATCTGAAATTTACTTGCCAGGCTATACTCTCCTACTGCTAGTAGAAAATCACTGGCTTCTGTGATGTTAGTCATCAATCTAGTACGCAGGTACCAACTTTTCAAACATATCTTCTGCCTCCATATCCCTGAAGATGGACATCAATCTAGCACACAGTACCAAATTTTCATGCATATCTACTACCTCCATATCCCTGATGATGGAGGCGGTATGCTCCTCTCGAATGTCAGTAAACCCATACCAGATTGCATGGTGTAACATCCCACAGGACATTAATCCTGATGTGAGATTTTGACATTTGAGGTTACTGCTGCACTGACTATGAGGACTACGATGATCTTGGATATGATGGCATGTAGTCTGGTGTACATTTACCAACAGTTTGTAGGAACAAGCTGTCTCTGTCTTCAGGGTGAGAAGAATATGGAGGAAACATATTCATCCAAACAGATTAAACAGTCACACAGCCAGGAAACAGTAATTTTTCAGTCACTGGAGTGAGAACCACCAATTTCTTAACATAAAATGATTCGTGGTAACAGCATTGGTCAATAGACCATGCTTCAGTACATACCTGCAGTTGTCTATGTGCATAAGTTGCAATGTGAACACATGGTCATCCTGAGAGTGCATTCTGCTCAGGAGCAACTCTACCAAGTTGTGACTGCACCAGGAAAGGTGGATAAAGCTGATAACGATGGTTGTGTGGTGTGCAGTGGCCAAACTGACGGACTTGCAAGGCAAGTCCAACAGTCATCCAAAGTTACAAAAAATACATGTTCAACTACTTGACTGTCAATTTACAATGCAAACTTTTATTTAAAAAGCTAATTCTTGCTATTCTGTTTCATAGATTTTGCTCAGGTTAATGGAATACAGTGAAGTCTCAAGTTAAGATATCTTCAGACACCAGTGAATTTTAACATCAAACTGAGGAAAACCTTAAACTGAGATGATTTGAGTTTACTAGCTTGGGGGTCATTAAAATTGAACATAAAATGAGGGAAACCCTTCAACAGAGGTATTATATGTGGGTTCCATTACTGCAGCATAAGATTACAGCAGTCAAAACTACAGGGGATGGACAAAAATATGGAAACACCCAACAAAAACACATTACCATGACTAATATGGAGTAGGACAACCTGTGGCTTGTGCAGATCTGCTTGCTGTCTCCTTGAACGGATAAATAGAGGTCCTGTGTGATTTGCAAGGGAGTTATGTACCATTCTTCCTGCAAAACATTGGCAAGTTCTGTTATCGATGATGGAGGTGGATAGAGCGCACGCAGATTGCTCTCCAAAACAGACCACAAAGGCTCAATAATATTGATATCTGGTGATTGTGGGGGCCATGGCAGACATGACACTTCATCTTTGTGCTCAGAAAACCAGTCCTGGATGATGTGAGCTGTGTGAACACGGGCACTGTCATCTTGGTAAGTGGCATCACCATTGGGGAACAAAGTTTGTACCATGGGATGGACCTGGTGGCCCAAAATGGTCACATAGTCATTGGCAGTGAAGTGACCTTACAGGGTAATGATGGATCTGACAGAATATCACAATATGGCTGCTAATACCGTGCTTGAACCCCAGCTATGTTTCACTTTTGGCAGCAAACAATCTGTATCTTAAGCTTAGGATGGCGTTCTCCAGACATAAACTTGGCCAGAAGTCGAAAACAATGTGAAGGTGGACTCATCCGACCAAATGACCGTCTTCCATCACTCCACAGTCCAGGTTTTATGACTTCAGCACCACACTCTCCTCTTAGTGGCATTTTGATCACTGAGAGTGGCTATGGAATTGCAGCTCATCCAGAAATACCCTGCTCGTGGAGTTCCCTTCGTACTGTATTGGTGCTGGCAGGGTTTGTGAGCGTGACATTCAGTTCAGCAGTCACTTTTGCAGATGTAGTCTTCTTATTTTTCGTCACAATCCTACGCAATGTTCATCTGTCTCGATCACACAAGACACATTTCTGTCCATGCTGGTATTTATCAGATGCGATTTTTTCAGTCCTCCTGTGTGTGGCCATAATCTTGGATACTGTGCCTCGCGAAGCACCAGAAACTTCGGCTACATTGGTTATGGAAGCACCCACCATACATTCCCCAACAATTTGCCCGCGTTCAAATTCTGTTAGCTCTAACATGATACAATAGAGGCGAAATAAATAAATAAATCTCTTAGGCTAAACCAAAGCATGTAGAACATGCCATGATACAAGATCTTTTTTTTACAACCAGATATGTGTAAAGCTTCAATTTTTTGGTACAGGTAAAATCATCTGCAAATCAGAATGAGTTAGGAGACAATCTTTTAATGTAGGCCGGAATACTTTTAAATTGCAGATAAACCTTTTTAATTTTCAGTGGAATATTACTGAGTAACTTGATAACCTGTATATGTTACTGACTAATAGTGATATTAGCACTTAGCATATGTAGGTGATATTTATTCCTTGTATTAAATTGTGTATGTTTGTATTTCTGTCAAATTTTTCAAGTTTTTCACCATAATTGATAATAAGAAAAATGTGTATTTGCTTGCAAGGAGAAGTACATTAAATTTCCGCAATAATTTTCAGAAAGAGACTCTGCTTTTACAAGTGTTATTATTTCAGTTATTTTCTTTTGCTCAAGTGAGTTTCTTATAATTGTGAAAACTAGAAATAGGCTTTATTTTTTTATAAGTAATAGCTGAGCATCATGATCATATCTCCCCGGTTTGATGTAAATGCAGGGCTTGAGGTGGGGTTCTTTTCTAAATGGCTTAAAAGCATCCCGTTACTTCTTTGGCAGTAAATGCAATGGACAATACCTTTTTCGTTGTTGTTGTTATCTGTTTCATGGTTGTACAGGCTACTCCCCTGCGTTGTCTAACTAAATTTTGCTTTCGTGTGGCACTGTTTGAAGCACCCAAGAATGCACAGTCCCACATCACATTTCTTGCACTTCATCTGAACACGTTTCCTCTTTCCACGTGCAGAACAAACATGGCATTTCATTCTCATGGCACGAGGTCGGCCAGTGATGTCGATTGGCCTCCTCTAGACGAAGTATTGTGGATGACAGAGCAGGAGGTCGACCTAATGGACATTGTGATTGGGAGCAACACATTACAGCATGTTCCAGCATGTTGTGCATAAGGGTAAGACGAAAGTCCCTATGTGACAGTTTCACACCGCAGGATGATAGCAGGATGAAACTGTTCAGAATCGTCAGATCCAGTAAATGGAAGACACTTGTTTGGCAGCAATAAGGGTTTTTCAAAGAAAGTAGGGGGCAGGCAATTTTCCTTTGCATCAACTTCTGCCAGATACCCTAAATAAGCTGAGAAACTTGTGAAGATAGAAATATATAGGCTTATGGCCAGCTCACTTTTATGGCATGGAGTTTCTGCTAACAAGCCACAGTGTTACAAACAGGAAAGATTTTATACTGCAGAACTGTTGTGTGTAGGAGCAGAAAAATTTTATACTGCAGAACTGCTGTGTGAAGAATTTTTTAGTTAATTCCATTCATTTATCATAAAAATTGTATTAGATAGAGCAATTCAAAATACAACGCTCAAGCGCTCTAAGTGGAACTGGCATTTAAACGTAGAGCAGAAACGTGGATTTAAACCCCTGCAAGCAGTGGGCATTTAAATAAATCCCGGTCAGCTAGCTTTACTTGCGTTTCAAAACTCCGGCGGTTAAAGGTTAAGGAAAGATTCATTTTCGTATTCTTAAGACCAATAATAAATTATACAATGTCTGAAACAGTATGTCCTTCTCTTGCCTTGCATCCAATCCCAGTGTGGAGGTGGCCTGTCTCCAACAAAACAGTTGTTTACAACAAAATTTTAAGTTTTTCTATTGTTGATGTCGCGTCTGAATTCTTAGATATTTTATTGAAAATGAAAACACAATATGTTGGCAGAAAATGAGGTACACATTTCCTACTCCCTCCTACTTCATTGGACAGAAATAAATTTG